CGGTTAAGACAACGCATCAGTACACGTAGATCATTGACATCATACAATCGCTTGGCATTCCAGTATGATCCCACTGCAAACTACAGTGATGATAAAAATTTCGATATTGGACCAATGACGACTATATGCCGATATTGCAATGCGTTAAAGTTCAAAAGAGAAACGGCTGGATTGTGCTGCGCAAGTGGAAAAGTAAAACTGGATCCATTACTTGCACCACCAGTGCCACTGAAATCATTGTTTGATGGAAGTGACCCCGATTCCAGCCATTTTCTTCAACACATCCTTCAATACAATAACTGCTTTAGCATGACTTCCTTTGGAGCTAATATCATTCAAGAAGGCGGCTTCATGCCGACTTGCAAGGTAAAAGATACAACGCACATAACCAATTACTCACACCAACACAATGAATTGCACACCACACACTACACCATCACACGATCAGAAGTTACACCGTATTCTTCAACTAATGATTGTTTGCAATTACAGATACAAGGACAAATATACCATTTGCATGGTTCAATGGTGCCAACACCAAATGAACAGCACCAATTTCTGCAAATATATTTAATTTCGTCGATGGTGGATCAGCTGAATGTGCGGTGCAATATGCAGGAAGAGTTAAAGAGACGAGTTATTGAACAGTTGCAATCATTTTTTCACGCTAATAATGCTGTGGTTAACATGTTCAAAACAGCATTGGAACGAATGCCATCAGATACGCACAAATTTATCATAAGAGCGGATTGTACCCCAAGAGGTGAACATGTGCGAAGATTCAATGCACCCACCGTTAATGATGTTGCTGCAATTATTGTTGGCGATCCAACTAAATCGCGAGACATTGTCGTTCAGCGAAGAAGCAATATCATGCATCGCGTAAACGAGACACATCGTTTGTACGACGCGTTACAATATCCAATCATTTATTGGCAAGGGCAAGACGGTTACGACATCACGTTGAAGATGGTCGATCCAATTACAGGTGCAATATTAACACACTAATTATTTTTATTATTGCTATTATTTGTTTCCATTAACAATTCATTCCATTTTGCATTTTCAGGCTTATCAACGAATAAAAATCTAAGCGCTATGAAATACTATGCATATCGTATGATGATTCGTTCACATGAGGAGAATGTCATTCTGAAGTGCCGTCGGCTATTCCAGCAATTCGCTGTCGACATGTATGTCAAAGTCGAGACCGAACGTTTAGCGTTCATTCGATTCAATCAGGCAAAGCTACGATCTGAGGACTATATACACTTGCGAGATGCTATTCATTCAGATGGTGATGTTCAGAATATTGGACGTCTCACGATTCTCCCATCATCTTATACCGGAAGTCCACGCCACATGCACGAATACGCTCAAGACGCTATGACGTACGTGCGACATTATGGAACTCCGGATTTATTTATTACGTTCACTTGCAATCCGAAGTGGACGGAAATTGAACGTGAGTTGGAAATAGGCCAAAAACCGCAAGATCGCCATGACATAATAGCCAGAGTATTTCAGCAAAAACTCAAGGTTATGATGGATGTGCTTACAAAGTATCGAGTTTTTGGTGACACACGTTGTTATATGTACTCGGTGGAATGGCAGAAGCGTGGACTACCGCATGCTCATATCCTAATTTGGTTGCTGAATAAATTACATTCAAATGAAGTGGATGACATCATATCAGCTGAAATTCCTGATCCAGTCACTGATCCCCATCTACACGATATTGTGACGACACAGATGGTGCATGGACCGTGCGGTGCATTAAATCCATTATCGCCTTGCATGGCTAATGGAAAGTGCACAAAACGATATCCGCGACCGTTAGTTGCTGATACATTCACAGGGAACGATGGATATCCAGTTTATCGTCGGCGTTCAAAAAAAGAAAATGGTCGAACTATCAAAGTTAAAGTTCAAAATCAAGAGATTGAGATCGGAAATGAATTTATTATACCATATTGCCCGCTGCTATCTCGAATTTTCAGAACACATGCAAACGTTGAAAGTTGTCATTCGGCCAAATCAATCAAATATTTGTGCAAGTACGTCACAAAAGGCACCGACATGACTGTGTTTGGTATTGCGTCGGAAAATGCGAATGACGAAATTAGCAGCTTCCAAATTGGCAGATACGTCAGTAGTAATGAAGCACTGTGGCGATTATTGTCATTTCAAATTCATGAAAGATATCCCACAGTTATGCATTTAGCAGTGCATTTGGAAAACGGTCAAAGAGTTTACTTCACTGAGGCTAATGCGGCACAGCAAGCTGAGAGACCACCATCGACAACATTGACTAGCTTCTTTGCTATGTGTGAAGCAGATCCATTCGCAGCGACGCTGATGTACGTTGATATGCCTAAGTATTACACTTGGAATCAATCAACAAAGAATTTCCAACGCCGCAAACAAGGAACCCCAATTCCAGATTGGCCACATGTGTTTTCCACGGATGCACTTGGTCGCATATATACTGTTCATCCTAGAAGTGATGAATGTTTTTATTTGCGACTTCTGTTGGTAAATGTGCGTGGACCAAAATCATTTCTGCATTTGAAAACTGTGAATGGCCACCGATGTCAAACATATCGAGAAGCATGTCAACTATTGGGTTTGCTGGAGAACGATTCTCATTGGGATCTAACACTTGCGGATTCAGTTGTTTCATCAAATGCGTACCAAATACGAACGCTCTTCGCAATTATCATCACCACATGCTTTCCTTCACAACCAATACAATTATGGAACAAATACAAAGACGACATATGGGAAGATATCTTGCATCGCTTGCGCATTCAAACTAACAATCCTGATATCCAAATAACCGATGAAATCTACAATGAAGGATTGATTCTGATTGAGGATCAATGCTTGACTATTGCAAACAAGCTACTAATTGAAGTAGGAATGATTGCGCCAAATCGATCGATGCACGATGCATTCAACCAAGAATTAAATCGAGAGCTGCAATACAATGTTGATACATTGCAAGAATTCATTCGAATTAATGTGCCGTTGCTGAATGAACAGCAAAAACAAGTATACGAAACATTAATGCAAGCGGTGGCCAATAATACTGGTGGTCTATTCTTCCTGGACGCACCTGGAGGAACAGGGAAAACATTTGTCATTTCATTGATTTTGGCCACTATTCGATCAAGATGTGACATAGCTTTAGCGTTAGCATCATCGGGAATTGCAGCGACTCTTCTAGATGGAGGTCGTACTGCACATTCTGCACTTAAGTTGCCACTCAATTTAAACACAATTGATACTCCAACATGCAATATTTCCCGATCCAGTGCAATGGGAAAATTGTTGACGCAATGCAAGCTCATTGTTTGGGATGAGTGCACAATGGCGCACAAGAAATCACTTGAAGCACTTAACTTTACACTAAAAGATCTTCGGCGAAATAACAACATCTTTGGCGGCTTGATGATATTGTTGGCAGGCGATTTCAGGCAGACGTTGCCAGTAATTCCCCGTGGAACGCCTACAGATGAATTGAATGCTTGCCTGAAAGCATCACCGTTATGGAATAACGTAAAAACATTATCGCTAACCACTAATATGAGAGTTCAACTTCAAAATGATCAAAGTGCTGCACAATTTTCCAAACAATTGTTAGCTGTTGGAAATGGGAAAGTCCCAGTTGATGCGACATCTGGATTAATTACTCTTACCAATGACTTTTGCCGATTTGTAGACTCTCAATTAGAACTTATTGAAAATGTTTTCCCAAACATTAGCGAAAATTATCAGAATTATGCTTGGTTAAGTCAACGAGCAATTCTTGCCGCAAAAAATAATGATGTGCACGCATTGAATTTCGTCATTCAGTCAAAAATTGCTGGCGATTTGGTGACATACAAATCCATTGATTCCATAACAAATCCCGATGAAGTAGTAAATTATCCTACGGAGTTTTTGAACTCTCTGGAGTTACCAGGATTTCCACCACATAACTTGCAACTCAAAGTTGGCACTGTTATAATGACATTGCGTAATTTGAATCCACCGCAACTTTGCAACGGTACTCGACTTTCAGTAAGAAGACTTATGCCGAATTTGATTGAGGCAACCATTATTAACGGAAAGTACGCAGCTGAAAATGTATATATTCCTCGAATACCAATTATTCCGACTGGTCTTCCGTTTGACTTCAAACGATTACAATTTCCAGTTCGCCTTGCGTTTGCAATGTCAATTAACAAGTCGCAAGGTCAATCGCTTAGTGTTTGCGGTATAAATTTAGAAAATCATTGTTTTTCGCATGGCCAGTTGTACGTTGCCTGTTCACGAGTTGGGAAACCATCCGCTTTGTTTGTGTTAGGCCAAAAAACAAAAAATGTTGTTTACCAAAAGGCTCTTCAATAAAACATATAATTTGCAGATTCACTTTTTTTTACTTAGAGAACTTTAACTCATTTTTGTAATCAAAATAAATTCGTTACTGTTGTACAATAAAATCAAATTTTTCCTTTTCAAATATAAAACAAACAAAAAATTTCTTCATCTTTCTCACGAAACCATCTGGTGGCGAAACAGAGTTCGTCGGGTTTGCTAGTATATATATATATATCAATTGTAAATTGCACTGATTAGTTATTGAAGAAGAGCAAAGATTTTATTTAAAAAAATATGTTGTTAAAAATAACTAGTTAAATGTTATTTAAATAGCTAAATCCTAATTATTGCTGATTATATTGAATACTATTTTCACATGAAGGAAAATTCATGCAACTCGTCTCAAGGTAAAACGCCACTAACAACTTTTATAACCTCAAATATTCTAAACATCTTGACATTTCAGAATATATATTGTTTTCTTTTTCTAAAAAATTGCTTTAAGACCACTCGCACTTGTTTATGTTGTTTAATATATTATTTTAATCATAATATAAATTTCAAATATAAAATTTAATAAAATCATACTAATAGCTTAAATGCAACTTTCATAAAACACGATCATAAAAACTTACGAAAAATAATCATCCGATGCCGTAATCTGAGTTCTAGGTTCATTTGCAATGGACCACATTATCACTCCTGGGCGATTCTTATCACGGCGAATTAGCTCGCTTAACGACATCTTGTGCTTAGCAAGCAATTTTGAATTGTAATTCCTTGAAAAAAAAGGATATAAATATGATATAATATGATAGTACAGCATATATTATATATAAGATATATATATATATATATATTTATTTATATATATATATATATATATATATATATATATATATATATAAAATTCTTCTGTAACTATGTATGAATGGTTAATCCTCTTAAACTATAATTAAGATTTTCGTGAATCTTTCTGAAGTTTGTTCGGGAAATTTTCTAGAATTTTTAGATTCATAAAAATATAGCTAGATTGTAGAAATAAATGGAAAAAAATACAAAAAAACGCGTATCATTGTTTGCTCTTGAAAATATTCAAGGCATGGTTTTACATTAAAACGAATGAAAACTGTCATTTGCCAAACATTTTCATTCACTTATAGGCTAAGACAATATTGAAATATAATATATTTATGATTGTGAATAAGAAAAATGTAATGACTACATTATTATTGCCAAAAAGCAGCTGAGATGTGCCAAAAATTAAAATAATACAAGATTTACAGTCAACATTCGACAGGTGATGCAGTCTGCGCATGCGTCTGTCAGTGATCGCACATCAAACTTAGCCTATAATTCACTTTGACTGATTATTATTTTTTAACTTTCAAATGAAGTCGTGTTTTCATTGTGTCAAAAATTTATATGTTTGGCATTGGATACGAAATATTTACTCAAGACAATGGAGCATTTTGGGTCTGAATATATTTAATGTGCTCCAATTTGCATGAAATTTTGGAATTAGGTTCATCTTACTCTCAAGTTTAAAAGTAAAAATAATTTAGAATCATTTGCCACTTGCCTGGGGAGATGACATCCCTTTTCAGTGGTGCAATTGTATCTCTTTCAAACTAACGTCGGATATCGATAAAAGAACTAATTAGAAGAGAAAAATGTTTAATATTGTTTTTTAAAAAAAAATTACTTTTCAAGTTACTGACTACTGCAAATTTGTTGTTTATCAAATTATATATTAAAAATAAATTATACATTTAAACGAAAATCATGTAATGAACAAAATTATATCAATTAAAATCCTAATAAATCGGTGTTTTATAAATTGTTCTAGGAACAATATTAGGCTAGATATAAAAATGGAGCTTTATAGTACTCAAAATAAGCTTTAAAATAAGTACTTCTGCGTGTAAAATGAGTGAGCTATCATGCAGATAAAAGACGCATACAAAATTTTTTTTCATTTAAAGCAAATAGTTTTTAAGTGCCATTTCCACCAAAATTAAAAATAATCGTATTCCCTCTAGAATCAACTTGGTTTAAAGATCTTGACGGATTCTAAAAAATACCATACCTTAGTGCAAACGATTTCCAAAAAGCTCATGATTTCATGAAAAAAAAATGTGTGGGTACATAAATAAAAATTCAAGGTCTTTTACTGACCAATTATTTCTTTTTATTAGTTTTCTGTTACACAAATATTGATAGTGTCCAACCAAAGTGCCTTTTGAGTCCTTCAATCCTTTGCCATTTCAAAATAAGAGAAGTTACGGTAAAATTTATGATAGAGAACGTTGTAGCTTATTTAATTACCTTTAAAATAGTGTATTGCAGTGTACTGATAAAATCAGAATTCAAAAAGGTATAATTCAATTAAGCCGGTGGGTGGTGACGATAAAGATTAGCCTATTTCCGACACACGCTTTCTTCGTCTCCATTTACTGCAATAATTTTGTTGATCGTAGGTTGGATAGAGCACATGTGAACAGAATTTGATAAATTAATTCACTTCAAATATAAACTTAAGTAATAATGTATATTGAATTAATAATGAAAAAAATTTAATTTAGATCGTAAATTACTAAAATCCAGTTAAAATATGGTACATAATTATAAAAATTGTAGGCAACATTATTGAAGGAATAATTTTGGGTAGAAAAATCCAAAGTGATATTGTACCTATACCGCAAATGCTATATATTAATTCTTTCTGAATTTGTTATACCTTTTAAAAAACTTCAATTTTCAACACGTGTGTCTTATGCTATGACCATAAATCGCAAAGGCAGACGATGATTTTTTTTGTGATAAATTTGGAAAATCAATGTTTTAGTCGTGAATAAACAAAAAATAATTTATTTATATATCCACATCTACAGGTATGACTGAAAAATTGTATAACCCTTGGCATTAAAATAAACTGAGCTATTGGAAATAAATTAGCAGTGTCTAATTTTTAATATACAATTTTATTGAACATTTTTTAATATTTGTTAAATGGATAATTAAAGTGTTAACTGAGAACGGGTATTGAAAATAATCATTTTATTTGAAACAGTTCTACATTCAACATCACTCATATATTGGTGTAAATAGTAATTCGAAAACCAATAATGATTATTTTTAACTGAACGGTATAACGATTAGTATAGGATATTAAAAAAAACGTAGATGTGGGTACAGGACAACGTCTGTCGGGTCATCTAGTGTATATATGGCGCTAATGGGCCATTTATTATTAATTAATTATAATTAGAAATGAAACCGCAATTAACTGTTGTAGACTCGATGATAATGTGAGTTTATTGATAACTCAATTTACAACGAAACTGATATGATATAAATTTTGATATCAATTTATTAGCCCGACAATTGATCGCTGACTAAAACCGAGAGACAATTTTACGATCGTGAAAACAATAATATAGCTACAGATTACTAGATAGAAGTTCACGTCATCGTAGCTCAGAGTGTGCTGTGTAGTTTAGTCATCACATTGGCGTCAATCAACTGACAGTTGTCATGAAACATAATTCATTCCGTCATATCACTCCCCTTCAAAAGAACAAGGAGTATCCGTAAGAAATAAATAAATTTAATTATTATAATTTGAAGGAGACTTTTTTGGTTTTAATCTTTCTTGGGGGATCCATAGTTAACTCCAAGTGATGTGGTTTGAATTCTTGTGATGTGCTTGGTTGACTTTCATGTATTATGTGAAAAGCAGTTCTGCGAATACTTTGCGGACGGTAGGGCATCACAAAATTATCATGATTCGTGTTGTGATTTCTGCACTAAACTGGATAGCTATTTAATGACAATTTCTGTAGGTTTAGAGAAGTATTGCCATTTAATAAAGTCTGTATTTCAACGTCCTTGCTCTGCTCTATCAAAATTTCCTCAGCAGTTAACTTTGAAGGCATTTGAATAGAATTGATCCTGGAAAAGGCATCAGCAACCACATTCTGTTCACCCTTCACATATGTGATATCAGTGGAAAACTGTGAAATGTATTCCAGCTGCCGTAGTTGACGATCTGATGCTTTCTCTAATTTTTGTTGAAGAGCATGTGTGATTGGCTTGTGGTCTGTCTTGATTACAAAGTGAAGGCACTTCTAGCAGATATTCAAAATACTTTAAGGCCGCAAAGATGGCTAGTAGCTCGCGATCATAAGTTGAATATCGGTGTTCAGTAGATGTGAGCTTTCTGGAATAGAAACCTATAGGGCGTCATGCACCATTTTCTTCCTGCTCCAGAGTTGCTCCAATGGCTGTTGTAGATGCGTCGGTTACTAAGCAGATGTTTGTTGAAACAGCTGGATAGTGGAGTAATGCAGCGTATGCGAATGCTTTCTTTATGTCATCAAAAGCCTTAAGAGATTCTGGGTTCCAAAAAATTGGAGTTTTGTCTTTCTTTACTGCACTTCGTAAATAATTGTTTAAGGGTGATTGTATACTTGCTGCCTTGGGTATTGACTTACGATAATAATTTGCCATGCCCAAAAATCATCTGAGTTCTATAACTGTCGAAGGTTTTGGATAATTAATGATTTTCTCTACTCGGTCAGGTGAAGGAGAATATCCTGCTGCACTCAGTTTGTAACCGAGAAAGTTTACTTCATCTTTACCAAAGACGCATTTCTCTAAGTTGATTGTAAGTGAATATTCCTGTAGTCTCTCAAAAACCAATTGAAGATGACGAAGATGCTCATTCATATCAGTCGACATTACCAGGATGTTGTCTATATAAATATAAACAAAATTAAAATCTTGGAAGATGTGATTGATAAACCTCTGGAATGTCTGGGCGGCGTTTTTGAGACCAAATGGCATGCGTAGATACTCGAAGAGTCCCCATGGTGTGATAATTACAGTCTTTTTGATATCCTCTTCATGCATGGGTACTTGGTGGTAGGCTTTTTCTAGGTCTATTGTAGAGAATACTGCTTTCAGATGCAGAGTATTAAACACATCTTGTATTGAGGGTGTAGGATACCTGTCGGGCAGCGTGTTTGCGTTCAGCCTCCTATAATCTCCACACAGTCTGAATGTGCCATTCTTCTTAGGAACCATGTGAATAGGGCTTGCCCATGGACTGTTGGAAGGCCTCAAAATGCCCCTGTTTAGGAGATCTTGTATCTCGGACCTGGCTGCAACAGCCTTTTCTCCGAATATCTTCCTGAATCTGGTAGCTAGTAGTGGACCTGTTGTGGTTATCCTGTGTGAAAAATGACATGATTTAATATTGGTTGTAACCTGTGGTTTTGTTATAGCAATGTACTGTGCCAGTAAATCCTTGAAAGGCTCTGCCGGGTTGACGGTGGAGATGTTGACTTGCTGTGCCTTGAGTACCTTTCCATCAGAGGTAAGGCCTGTGATTGAATCAATCAATCTTCTGCCCTTCAAGTCTATTAATAGATTGTAGTTGCTTAGGAAATCGGCTCCTATAATGGCTGCGGCTACATCGGCAACAACAAACTGCCAGTTAAAGCTTCTGCGTAGTGATAGATCCAGCTCCAGAGTTCTCTTGTTATATGTGGAAATTCTGCAAGAGTTTGCTGCAAATAAAACTAGCTCTTCCTTGGCATGACCATTGGCAAACTTATGGGCTGGTAAAATGGATAAAACTGATCCAGAATCTATAAGAAATTGGATTGCAGTATTTCTGTCTGATATATGTAGGCGGAGCTCAGAGCAGACAGGATTTATTTCACCGTCATGGCAAGCTCCAATTAATGACGGTGAAGTAAGTTTTTCGACCGGT